AGCCGATCGTGCAAAATGACTGCGTGCGGCCGAGACCAGAGGGAGATACTCACTTGCTCGCTGTGATAGTTGGTATTAAAGTACGACCAGAAATACTCTACGGGACACGATTTTGACTTGAAGGTGGTGGTGACTCCTCCGTACTTCTCACTGGCGTAGTTATAAAGACTCTTAAATTCAGCCTCGGTGTTGGCGAGGGTCATGTCCTTGAGTGCGGCAAACAAGCCCTCGGGTGCCTTGGGACCCAGTCGGCGATGCCAGGCTTGAAAGACGTGAAACTGGCAATAAAAGCACGCAATTTCTTTGCTGCCGCGCTCCTTACTGAGCAAATCAAAGGCGTCGGTGCAACCATTGATTAGCTTCCTGTCCATGTCCGTAAGCACAAAGGCCGGCAACGGCACTTCAGGGTTAAAGCGCCAGAGCACCTCAACAAATCGTGCGACTGCTGAAGCTGATAGGCCATTGATAAAGGCGTGGCCAATGACAACGCCCCGTCCGGTATTGGGCTCCTCTGTCAAAATCGAGACCTAGGCCGAGTAACGTGAGGTGTGAGAAAAAGAAATGAATTTCAAACAGCCTTCAATAGCGCTGAGCAAACGACTACGCGCCTAACCAGCTCATGAGAGTACCGAGTCATTCCGTGTGTTCCATCCATGTAAATGATGCTGTCCTTTGTAATCAGCTGCTTCATCCAATATCGATGGAGTGGTGACTGTATCACCATCAATTCAAACCCACCCTTGAGAGCCATGCCATCCGCTGAAGGACGCGGTGTCTGAACTGTACAAGCAAACAGACAAATACGAGAAACATGCTTGATAAGCTTGCTTAATAAGCTAGATAAACCAAGACCCAGTGCTTGGCAGACTCGAAAGCTCGGGAGTGACTTTTGTGCGTGTGGGGTGCTTGAAAAGGCGATACGCACGGCGGCGGCCGGCATACACGCAAACGTACGGTTATCGCTGAGTTCTTTGAAGGTTTGACAGTCATGATCGCGCTGCGCATACTGCAACGCATAAAATAAGGAAGATTCAAAAGAAATTCCTGTGAGCATGAGCCAGGAGACGTCATGGCAGTTCCACGTAGCTTGACTGTGTTCCCTTGCGCGTGATACAGACCAGTATGCTACACTCCGTGGGATCGCCTGATAAGCTCTCCGTCACTAGCTGTTGCACAGAAGTGTGATCTTGTGTGGCACGCCGCCCGGCAGTGTCGCGCAAGGAGTGATTGTTGACATCCTTGGCAGAGACAATAAAATCTCGTGAATTCTCCGGGACTTGTGCCCTGATAATACGCCTGATGTAGATGCTTGGCACACCCATAGATGACAAATGTGCAATCTCTGATTTGGCCCAGTGGCTGAGGGAAATATTGTGCATGTAGGACTTGTGAGTGTGCTCATCAAAAATCTCCAGCTACACCATCAAGTCAGAACGGCGTATGAGCGATTTCTGTTTGCAGGATTGAAATTTGCAAGCCGGGACCAACCTCAAAGGAGCCATCATCCAGCTCCTGCTGCCACATGTACGCATAGCAGACCACTTTCTGAGATTCTTCTTGTTCCAAAACGCAATCAGGTTCGTCCTCATGCCTTTGGTGGTCAGCAAATGCTTGCTCACTCATCACCGAGTCATGCTGCCCGTGACGTGAATCAATGTCCAAGTTTGCATGCAGGCTGCTGTTGCCCGCTTCCTGTTCCTGACTCTGCGCTACACGCTGCTGTTCTACACGACGCTTTTCAGGTGGGGGAAGCCCGTGTCTCGAGCAGTGATAGTAGTTGCCTCGACGATCAAAGCGACATGCAGAGGAGTTGGAGTACATCTGAATAAAGTCTTTCAGCTCCTCATGCGTATCAAACCGAATCTGATCGATCTGCAGCTCGACCTGGTGTGCTTCTCGCACGTGTCTGACCCAGTCTCGCCGAGACCGAAAGCGCGCTGACA